TGTGGATTTTTGTTAACTTATGATAAAAATATATATATTGGATGCCTAGTGAGAAAGAGTAATGGAGACTATAGGAAAAAAGGGTTTTGTGCTTTTCTATGAGAAGTATGTTGACTTGTGCTATGTTTCAAAAGTGAAGTATTCAGATTACAAGATAGAAACAATATGATTTTTAAATAATTTGTACAAAGCAGATGATAATGGACATTTGCTAGGGTCTGTTGGTAGGATAAATTGATACTTACCATTATAAAAAAATCTCATTAATTTTAAGCATGGTCTATGAAACTCAAGTTTAGCTATTATTCCTTGGTCAAAAGACTCAAAAACATGGGTGTGTATATACATATATTCGTCCTAAAGGATACATGAGGAAACTTATAAAAATAGGTGAGGTATTATTGGTGGCCACTAGACTAGGACTAGACGAGCAGAGAGATCTTTATAAAGTAGATGATGTGTTTTGTTTGTGTATATTATATATATGGTCATAAGACTTCATGATTCTTGTTTTGAAAACTTAACAACAAAAGCCCAATACCCTTTTTTACTAACACAATCTTTTCCATCTAATTTTCTATTTGACTAGTTTTGTATTCTGCTTTAATCCTTATAGTACAAAATTTGTTGGGAACTGCATAAAGAACAAAATCGAATCAATCATGAACACCTTCTGGCTTCACGTGAACATGCTGTGTTAAAAAGATCTTCTGTTCATAGAAGCTCTCTTAGATCTTTCCTGTTTTTAAACTATACTATTGTTTTCTTCTGAATTTTTTAATGGTCATGGCGCTACAAGATGCATTGCTAGATAATTGGATATCGGGACTGGTACATACATATTCTTTTTTTCACCAATATTTTGCTTTCAGAACAAGCCCACGGAGAATATAAGTACAGACCGTAATGACTATATATAACATAAATGTCCAAATATGAAAAAATTATGAATATATGTGAAACCTAATAAAAGGAAATTAAAGAAAATTAATACATTAATCCGGAGAAAATGATGTCGATGATGAGCATGAAGGAGAGAGAATGTCCCGCATGCATATTGCATAAGAAAAAAGTGGAAAAGGGAATGGGAACAAACTTGGCTAAAACGGTGATTAAGGATTTTCCGGGGTTAACTCTGTCTCCCCTGAAATATGATTTACTACAATTTACCAGTACCTTGAAATATGATTTAGCCACTAATAATTACACATGTTGCTAATTTAACGTCTCACTCTTGTTTAAAAATTCTCAAATCTAAAAAAAATAATAGAACGTAGCACATTGCTTTCTTTCTTTTTGGTCAATTGTACCACATTGCATTTTCTTTTCTTTTTTGTCTTAGCCTACATTCCAAAAATCAAATCTTGCAAAAATTTCTACAGTTATAGTCAAAATAAATTTGTCTCCTTATTATTTTCTAAAAATTAAATACAATATTTTATGCTGTGTTTCAAAATATTCGTACAATTTTTCATATAAAAACATTACTGTATTACTTAAACTTACAACTCTAATACAAGTCAAGTCCGATATTTTTAGGGCGTTTCTGTCGTCTTCATTGATGCATTCGGTTCGTCTTTTATGGACTATATATAGGTGTGAAACTGTGAATTTAATGGTAAACTTTCTATAACATATATAAACGCATTGACTTAAAATAGAGTTCTATAGTAATAAAAAAATGTTTAGATACAGATATATATAAAATCAGATTCTAGCTATATATCACGAAGAACATATAACCCAAAAACAAAAGTTATAGGGGGAGGAATGATTATCTCTGAAAATACTGATTCGACACTAACAAAGGAAGGATTTGTTGTGCTATGTGTGTGTATACATATCGACGGTTGCTCCTCTTTCTGTATAATAAAGTCACTACTCGCAATTATAGTTTACCAACTATCCCTACATTTTCTTTTTACTTTTGTTGCCTTTTTTTGAAACCTCTGCATAGTTTAACTAGCGAAAATACATTTGAAAGTACATTATTTTTTTGTTAATAATAATGAAAATTGGTATTTACAGCATATTATATAACGAAATACGATTATCAGTTTAGGCCATCATGCGGTGGGGTAAAAAGCATTTGTCCATGCATCGAGCTCTGCGTAAAACGAATCATATAAACATGCTCCTACAACTATTTATCTAATTTTAAACCCATATGTTAAACAAATGAATCAATGTCATCATCAAACAAATTAAAAGCCATATAGTATATATGTAACTGTTTTTCGTTTGAATATTTTTAGACATTTTGTGATAGTCATTAATTAACCTTTTGAAAGAAAAAAAGAAAAGAAAATGTCCGGAAGATGGAATGCAGAATAAAAAGCCTTTCTAAAAGCGAACCAAAAGTGTTGACCTTTTTTACAGTCGAGTTCTCATTTTCATGCCTCAAATCTGAAAACATAATAAAATGGCATGAATAACATTTTTCAATAATTCTGTGTATCATGTATATGGACGGCTTACAAAATACAGCCATAGTTTGACATTACGTCAAAAAAGAAAGCTCGATATCTATTCATATATTTGTATATACATATTCTCTTATAATCTTTCTAAAACATATGAAGACATGTGTTTAAATCGATAGCATGGTGATGTTCTGGAAAGTAAAATTTGAAGCCATTTCTTAAATGACTCAATCATACCACTGACATTTTCACTATGCGACAAACCCGTCGTTTTTTCTTTATTTTCATAGTCAATAACAATTAATTCGATTTAGACTAAGGATCGATTGTTAGATGAAAAAAATCGTGTATTACATTTTTTACCAAGAAATACGAAATTAAACAACAACAAAAAAAACAGTAAACACGAAATCTATTTTGTCAACCCGGTTGTTCCGGCATATCTTCTTCAGTAAATACTCCATTTGTTTAATTTCTGAGCATAATATTTGTTTCGAAAATATAAATACTATTGTACAAAACATATAGTATCATTGACCTTAATAAAGCAGACAAAATTAAGTCTGAATAATTATAATTTTACCTTTACAAAGCCAACAAATCTAAGTCCAACAAAATTAAGTTTAAAATTTTTGAAGTGTAAGAATTTAATGGAGATAAAGTTGGATGGGGGTGGTAGATTTTGAGGCAATAAATAGTGGGGAGAATTATGAGTTGTTGCAATTAATGCACGCAAGGCATGCATTTGTTTTCTCATCCACACTACTAATAATAAGTCCATTTTTTTTGTTGGAGTATGTTCCATTTATAAGAAAATGAAAATACTACCACTGAATCAAATAACAAAAGAAAATAAGTATGAGTATGCCAAAACAAATTGTCACAAAGAATAAATGAGACTTTGCAGTTTGTGGGAGTGATGAGTGCGACCTATCAGTGGACAGAAGGGAAATATGATTCTATTATATATTATAAAATGATGTCATTTCATCTGTATATTTTCGTCATTTAAAGTAAGAAAACAAAAAAAGGGATTGACCTTCTGCTTGAATATACGTCGATTTTTTTTTTGTTTTTGGTTTAGTGTAAAGATTACACCAAACAAAAAAGATGTTTAATTAGTGTATCATGGTTAATTACAATAGGTCAAAAGTTTGAAACAATCTTTATTAAAATTTTTGTGTTATATACTACATGAGCCTAGGATTCTGCAATCCACTCCATGGTGGAGTTTAAATGGACCCATCAATTGGAAGTTGCCTCACACGAACTGAAGTCAGAAATTGTTAATTTTTACATGATTCTCAATAATATAATACGGAGTACTACATTGAAAACAAATATATCTCTTTACGTATTTCTTCATTTCTTTATACGTCCATGTTTTAATGATATATTTCAAAATGTTTTAATTTAAAAGTCACAAACAGATAAACTCGTGTCTTCTCGAAGAAAAGAACTTCTACCATCGAACGTTTGATCAAAATATAATAAATTATTGTTATGGGTGAGTTAGCAAATGTGGATTCTGATTAATAAATCTAAAGTTGTGCCTGCAATTAATTCTCTATTTACTTCGATGGTTGTATCCTATAAATTCATGATTTGTGACTTCTTAAGGTAAAATCTCTTTTAAATTTTAAAATCTTTGGTTTTCTATATATATTCGTTTTCTCATCAATAATTTGGTTGTTATAATTTTGAGCAAATTTTAATAACGTTATTAAACCATAGTCAATTAAAAATATGGTGCCGGAAAAAAAAATTGAGAAAAAAGGAAAACGAACGGTAGGTCGTAGACGTAAAGGAGAACCCCGTTGAATTTCCTTTTGACAATATGCTGCTAGAAGCAGAGAAAACAAAAAAATCCCTAGAAAATTTATTGGGTTTCGCTTATATCATTAGGACTTTGGAAAAGTAAGAATTTTATTGAGAGAGAAGAAAGATTGCGTTATCCTTTAATCCCTTATTATTTACTTGTTTTCCCGAGAAAACTCATTGAGTTTCTTCTATTTTCATTGTTTCTTCCACGTTTTTTCCAGTCTCTCTTTCTTCACTGTTTTTCTGTTCATAGTTGTTAGATCTTATGTCTTTTCAAATCGAATCTTAAACTTGATCTCTCCTCTCATTTGATTAAACCCATCCAGCAAAAATTCCACCTCTCGAGACACGATTGTTTGTTCGATCTTCTCCGTAGCTTTGTGACAACAGAATCTAGGGTTTCGTTTTTTTTTTTTTTTTTTTTTTTTTTTTTTTTTTTTTTTTTTTTTTTTTTTTTTTTTTTTTTTAAGTCTTGGTTCATAAATTTTCCTGCTACAAACAACAACTGTACATCACCATCATTAAGAGAAACCCATCTGCCTCTTTCTCAATCTCATAAATATTCTCACCGTTCGCTTCTCATCTAAATGTTCTCTCTGTAGCTTCTCTCTCTCTATTTTTCTCTCTAAAGAAAACCCTTTTTGCTCCTTAATGTGTGAGTACCTCTCAATATTACATTCGACAGAAAGGAAATGAGTGAAGTTTTTTTTTTGGATCTTTAACGTTTTTGATCATGCGAGTTTGACAAAAGAGTCTCTTACAGAGATCTTTGGCATTCTGTCCACCTCCTCTCTTTATCTTTATGTGTATAAGTGTACATATCTACGTTGTGTTTTTGTGAGGGGAGGTGGGCATACTGCCAGTAGAGATCTGTTAGGGTTTCTTTGTAAAACCCCTCATGATTTGATATATTCAAGATAGTGATCAAGATCATTCGATGAATACTAAGATCTAAGTTTGAAGAAAAGTGGGTATTATCTCGAATCTACTCTCAACTTTTTCTAATATGTGATCATTACTTGTTCTTGATTAAGTCAAATTCATTTGTCATTTGTTGTCTCCTTTGATTTATCTCTCAAAGTTTGATGCTTTCCTTGATCAAGGCTCTCGTGGGTTTCAAAGATTATGGATCGCATTCACATATGATTGTAAGAACTCTTCATCTTTTAATTTGCAACGGCGTTGACAAGTGTGAGATTTCAGAGTAGTGGTGGCGTTTGAGACGTTTACATCATCTAGGAAAGGTAAATTATTTCATAAAGAAAGAGGACCCATTACTGGCTATAAAGGTACAGGTAGATGAAGTCATAGGAGAATATGGTAGTGAAAAGGAGAATTTACTCTTCCTTTTTATGTTTGTGAAGCCCACACAATGTTATTATGATGTCTTGTTTTCTTTTAAGTTGGAATCTATATATATAGGCTATTAGCAAGTGGTTTTTTTTTTTTGTTTCTATGATTGTTTCTATATTATCTGATGAGATGTGTTTAATCTGATAAATGGTTCGAGAAATATAAGTTCAATCTTAAAGTAGATGTCAGTATTTTCTTAGGATTTATTATGATGTTTCTTTTGTTAAAGTCGGAGTCTGTATATATATATATATATACTCATGTAAAGTCGCATGTTTCATGATGTATTGATGTATGTATTCTAACTTCAGGACTTTTTGTTGAGGTATGAATGCCGAGATATGACTATTCCGACAATGTTGTGTTTCTTTATGTTGGTTTTTGATCAATTAGGTTTTAGATGGTACCAAATGAGTTGCAACTTTTCTTGTATTTTGATTAACTAAGAAACTAGCTGTTATTTTGTGGAGGATAAATGAAAGCAAAATCAAGTTTACAATAGGACTTATGTCAGTGCTCTTACTATTGTTACGATTATTAGATTTTAAGGTCAAACAAGGATTTTAACGATGAGATAGTAACCATTGTATAATGCACGACGTCTTTAATGTGCCTACAGTATAGTTCTACGGATTTAAATAGGGTATAGAATTATACATTTACCATTAATTTGAAAAATTACAGTGCTCTACGTCAAAGAAAAAATGAAAGAAAATAAGAATTCAACTTGAACTTTCCCTAGTAACCTCATCATTGGAAGTGTGTCAGTAGCATTTAAATTATCCTTTCAAGGCAAATCTCCAAACTTTTCTACGCGATTTAATTATGCGCGTGACTCCCAAATTTCCGTTCTCGTTTATGTAGGTCAAAGTTGCTTTATCTTGTAATTTTTTTTTTATGTTCGGTCAATTCACAAAAACTCCAGTAATTATGTTTCTGTAGTGTAGCGTATGATTATTATTCTGCAAACTCTGCGTAATCGAGACTTTTGAAGAAAACAAATGCAGTAGTCCAAAACCTACTTTCTAGTAAGAAAAAAGAAAAAATGTTCTTTAGTTTCGTCCTAAACTTTTGACTCGTGAAGAAAACGAGAGCTTATTGGGCTTTATGTTGGGGCTCAAGTTTATTCGGCAGGTATGGACTTCAAATTATATTATACTCCCTCCATGTTTCAGACTTCAAATGAATTAGTCTAAAACATCATCTAAAAAAGAACTGAGTGAGTAAAGTTTAAGCCCAAAAGGCTTTAAACTTGGTATCAACAGCATATGCTATGCATCATTTTCGCATACTATAATCAATAATCATATCATATGTTATATGATTTAGTAGCTGATCAAGATGTTTTCTTAAGTGAAAAACCTAATATATATACAGTTGGCAGTGGATATAAACTTTTGCAAAGTCTACCAATCAGTCAATCACAGGTATCTTGAAAAATATCCATGATTAGGTATTTCATATTTCTGATCAAATTATCCACAAAAAAAAATACTTAAATCGTGTTTTCAATGTAGAAGACCCCTTGGCCCATTGGTTGACCAAGTGTTAATTAATGCTTCTACACCAAGAGGTTTGGGGTTCGAGTCCCAGATATTGCGATTTATTAGTAAATTTGCAGATTAAAGGAGGCAAGTGTGCAGGAGATCTTCAGCGAAGTACAATTATAGCCGTTCGCCAGGATTCTACGCAGAGAGAGAAGTGTCGTCAGGTCGTAAATCATTGAAGGTGTCCGTCAAGAGCATGGAGAAGGAAGTGTCGTCTGTCATGGATCTAATAATGGTCGGAAGGAATTGTCCGTTGTAGAATCGTTTATGATTTGCAATAAATAATAAATCTAGACGTCAAAAAAATAAATCGTGTTTTCAATATGTTACTCTTTCCAAAATTTTTAAGGTCAAAATTGAACTATCTTCGTCTAGCTGATTAAATAAAAAGAAAAACAATCTTAATCTAGAAAAAGACTCATACAAATAAATTTTTGAATGAGAACATATTTGATTAAATTTTGGTACCATATCCATAAGTATTCGATAGAACGACGAAACCATGTTGACATATTAACGATAATCTCGGAGAAGAAGAGAGAAAACCGATGCTCACAGCGTTTTCAAGTCACGCGCGATCTCACGTTTTCGCGTTTGTTACCGTCCCAACAATCACGCGCCGCCTCCGTATAAATACCTTACGCCAATCATCTCTCTCCTCTTTTCTTCTCCTAAACGAAACCTTCTCCAATCGACCCAATTCTGTTTCTCGTTGTTCTTGTTCGAGCTCTGCGATTATGGGATCTTCTTCGGTGTTAGGCGAGCAATTACATTATCCTACGGCTCGGCGTGATGATTCTGTCGTCGATAACTATCACGGCGTCAAGATCGGAGATCCGTACCGTTGGTAAGAGCTCGTTTCCAGCTGCAATTTCTCTCATGCGTTTAGGTTTTTGTAATGGTCCAAATAGGATTTTGAATGTTCTGCATATCGCTCTCTGAGGAATAAGTAGACATTGGATTTGACTTGGAGATTGACCTTAAGATTAATTCCTAAATTGTTGGAGATTTTGTGTGATTTGTTCATTTTTGCTATGCTTTTGCGTTGAATTTTGTCATTCTGGATTGTTTTTTTGCTAGGTTAGAGGATCCTGATGCTGAAGAAGTAAAGGAGTTTGTGGAGAACCAAGTGAAATTGACAGATTCTGTGCTTGAAAAGTGCGAAACCAAGGAGAAGCTCCGTCAGAATATAACGAAACTTATTGATCATCCGCGTTACGATTCACCCTTCAGGCAAGGGGATAAGTACTTTTACTTCCATAACACCGGTCTACAGGCCCAAAGTGTGCTTTATATGCAGGTATTTTGTTGAGAGCCATGGCTTTTGTATCAGTACATACATGCATTTTTAACTTTGTTTTCTCATTGAATTTGATTGCATTCGGGTTCAGGATGATTTGGATGCTGAGCCAGAGGTTTTGCTTGATCCGAACACTCTTAGTGATGATGGAACTGTGGCCTTAAACACCTTTTCTGTCAGCGAGGATGCTAAGTACTTGGCCTATGGTCTTAGTTCAAGTGGTAGCGACTGGGTGACGATTAAGCTGATGAATGTTGAGGATAAGAAAGTGGAGCCTGATATTTTATCATGGGTATGGTATTTAAGATGGTACTGATTAGTGCGGTTGATCAATAAAGTTCTACCGTCAAGATTTCTGATATATTTATGATCCTCTCGTGGAACAACAGGTTAAGTTTACCGGCATTACATGGACGCACGACAGTAAAGGATTTTTCTATGGTCGCTACCCAGCTCCCAAGTAAGTACGAGATGTGTTGGAAGAAGCCTTTCAGTATAGTTAAGAAAGCTAAGTCACTCTTAACAATTTTATTTGTTCTTTTGCAGAGAAGGAGAGGATATTGATGCTGGTACTGAGACTAATTCTAACCTTTATCATGAGCTGTATTACCATTTCCTTGGGACGGATCAATCTCAAGATATCTTATGCTGGAGAGATCATGAGAATCCCAAATATATGTTCGGAGCTGAAGTCACTGACGATGGGAAGGTAACGCACGAAGTTCTTATGTTGGGTTCTTTAACTTTGATTACGCTCTTAATCCTCAATTTTTTTTTTTTTTTTTCTGTAAGTACTGTCAGAAAATCATTTTGATCCTTTCCCTTTTTCTAAATGATGGTCATGACTTCAAACTGTGTTACCTAGTTTTGTAGTCTGAAACTTGGATTCTTAGTTTTAGGTCTAATCTCATAATGTTGTTTCTTCTTGCAGTATCTGTTCATGAGCATTGGAGAGAGTTGTGACCCTGTCAACAAATTATACTACTGCGATATGACTTCATTTTCTGGAGGTCTTGAGAGTTTCAGAGGAAGCAGCAGTTTTCTTCCATTCATTAAGCTTGTTGACACGTTTGACGCTCAATATAGTGTTATCTCAAATGATGAGACTCTGTTTACTTTCTTGACAAATAAAGATGCCCCTAAGTACAAATTAGTCCGGGTTGATCTAAAGGAACCAAACAGTTGGACTGATGTTGTTGAAGAACACGAGAAGGATGTCTTAGCATCAGCTTGTGCAGTCAATGGGAATCATCTGGTCGCATGCTACATGAGCGATGTAAAGCATATTCTGCAAATTAGGGACTTAAAATCTGGTTCATTGCTTCACCAATTACCTCTAGATATTGGTTCAGTATCTGATGTTTCTGCTCGGCGCAAGGACAATACCTTTTTCTTTAGCTTTACTAGCTTCCTCACTCCTGGTGTGATTTACAAGTGTGACTTAGCCAATGAATCTCCAGAAGTTAAGGTATTCCGGGAGGTTACTGTACCCGGATTTGACAGGGAAGCATTTCAAGCCATTCAGGTTATACGCTCTCTTGTAGTGGATATTCCTGTCTCTTTCATAATTTACTTCTACTTTGCATATGATAAAGTGGCTTCTGCTCCTCTTTATAGGTCTTCTATCCCAGCAAAGATGGAACAAAGATACCAATGTTTATTGTGGCGAAAAAGGAT